ATACTGTTGATTTTTGTATTATTTTGTATTATGTCATACTTTATCAACCATGCTAATGTACTTTACTCTAACAAGTACAATACAGGGGAAATAGAAGCAAAAAAATATAATAACAACATTCTTGGTATGTTCACTTCTAAGACCACCGTCAAAGAATACAAATTAACATGCTCATCCCCAAATCAAGAAATTTGATAAGCATATTTCTAGTGCATATCATTTCTTTTCTTGATTTCTCCCCTTTCAATGTGTCTACACATTTGGAATATACTTTAATTGGTCATAGATAAATTTATTATGGTCCTTTGATTTTCATTGTCTAACAAGAAAATCTAGTTTTTAAAAATCAACATTTGAAAACAAAGAGTAGGAATATACCTTTAAGACCTATATCTAAATTACAAGGTGCTCTAGGTCCTAAAATTGACTCTACAATGGTTCCATGCCATAGTACCTATGATGTTTACCATGCTCTGAACCACAAGCCCTAGATTTTATGTACCGTAGCTGGGTGGAAGTGCTAATTCTACATTTATTTTGTGTTTATCGATTTGATTTCTAAGAAATGTAGACTGTGATGAAGTGTCTTGCTGTAATTGCCATCTATTGTGTGAAGGTTATATTACAGGTTCTTAAGGAGACAGAAACTGAAGTTTCAGTCATTAGTGCTAACTTACCTAATTGAGTCTTGGGGCTTTTTGGTCTTTGGTCTGTGATCCAAAGATAGCTCTAATTAGAAGGCATTTATCCAACCAAATTTTCAAGTTTAAATGAGTCTTTTTAGACTATGGATGTTTTGGCATGGGCTGGATGTAACAATGAGTACCATCAGGCATCAGCAGTCTTCTGGGGGCAATGGAGTCACCTACTGATGCACTAAACCCCACGCTAAGGACACATGTATCATCCCCCCACCACCTCCTTTATAGAAAATAAAATATATTGCCTTTCTAAGGAGATATTAAAACTCTTGCTTTTTTTATTAGCATTCAATGCTCAATGATTATTCTGGTTTTCATGTCTTAATGTTTTGAGTTATGGATTATATAGTACTTGAACATAACTATACACCTTAAGAAGGGTTTTGAGACCTGCATGGAAACACTCGAAATAGACAATAGTTTTAAGAACTGAAAATTGGCTAAAGGATTTGCTGAGAAAAACTCCAGGCTTCTTTCTTTCTTACAGCTGCTCTCAGTGTTGAAAGTGTAAAATGCGGCATCAAGTACAATGCCTCTTAAATGATAAATGGATGAAGTAGGTGCTTTGAATAGAAATACTAAATAAAGCTCTTCTGTTGAAATTATAGCCTTGGCACAAAATGGCATTTATTCAAGTCATTCAAACAACTCCATTCCAATTTACAAATAATGAAAAGACCTCATAGAAGCCCAGGCGCCTTTTCCTTGTCTGCTTATAAAAAAGTAACCAAAGGGAATCGAGTCCCAAGTAGTATTGGATCCATAAGCTTGCTTTTCTACCAATTTGTATTAAGAAGGTAAATGGATAGTTAACTGTTGGATGTTTTTCCTTTTCCTTGTTGTGAAAAGCAGAATTCTGTATGTATCAACTTTTCTTCCTCCTTTTTGACCAACAGAAAATGGCATATTTTATATCGATATATATAAAAATAAGACACATATCAACACATTTATGAACATATAGGCATATGCATAAATATATGTACATGTGTAAATAGATCATCTCAATGGCAGGATGAAAAAAATCTAAAATTTTGCTTACCTTTTCAAAACATAAACATTCAAACTCTCACTATGATTTCACTGAAAATATTTTCTTAAGCAATCATATCCTCATTTTATAACTATTATACAATTACAGATCAATTCTTTGTGGATAAGTCTTTCACCGAGTTCCTTTCAGGTTCAAGTTAGGTTAAGGACAGAAGACTTACTGTATTACAGAATTGAGGTTAATTTTGAAGTCCTGTACTCCTTCTCAAGTAATTTCATCCTGAACACATTAATAGAGGGCTACTCACTTGCCCCTTTGAAGTTATTTGGTTTTCCACGGGACCTAATTTCATCATGGCACCAAATGTCTGCCTCGCCACCATTCTGAGGGATGTCTGCTGCCAAATTTCTGAGCAAAAGTTGTCAATCAGGACTCACCTCTCCTTCCCTGGGCCAAGGCCTCCCATTCTGAGTATATTTGCTTTGATTCTGTCGCTTCTTTTGTCCTCCGTCGGCAAATTTGCACAGTAAAGGCTCACTGGGGGCTGGGAAGATAAGAAACCAATTTTATATTAGCAAATCCCCCTTAAAAATAAGTGATTATTTGAATCACAGTAGTGCTTTGTAATGAATATCTTTTGAAGTAAAGTCTTGCTCCTGGAGAGATATTTGGCCCCCTTTTAGTCTCAACTCTGTTGGCTGCTGTTCTAACTAACTGGGATTCAAAAAAAGTACTGGCAGACCATAAAAGAACATAACAAATATTGTTGAAAAAATAATCAGTTGAAGCAGAATGTGAACGCGCCTTGGAAGTAAAGAGACAGGCACTGACCCTTCCAGTTATGTTAGAAACATACTCAAAATTGGTATTTATGAGTGGATAAATATTTCTCCCTCAGTGCAACTGTGTTTTCACTGTAGGATTCAATTTTGGAAAGAGATGCTTAGGAACTTCTTTCTAAAAAGGGAGATATTTTGCTAATTGCAATCAAATTAGCTTTGTTTTTTCGTTAATCTTCTGCAAATTTCAAAGAAGTTGATCCCCCACCCAACTCTTTTCACTCCAATTTCTCTGTAAAATCTAGATAGACTCCCAGAGAGAACAACCATTAGACTGTTAAGTGAACCCACATGATAAAATATAGCTAAAGGATATGGCTATAACTCACGAATCACAACTGATTGTGGTGGTCCTGCATGACTTACGGATATTTATTTCCTACGAGAAAGTGACCAAAACTAAAGTATGTCAGAATTCCTCTTCCAACAATGACATTGCAAAATGACAATCTTTTAAAACCCAACAGGGCAAAATTATTCTGTGAGAACTGATGTTCGCTCTCACATCCTCACTTGAATGGAAAATTGCTGCTTATCATTACCACAAATATAATGAATGAATAAATGAATGAATGAAGGAATGAATAAAAAGAGAGCCATATTGGCCTGGCAAACTTGGTCAATACATTAATATGGTTGGGAGGGTTAACATGTTAGTTTATTTGCTTCAATAAACCAAATATTAATTTGTCAGTTTATAGTCCGAAAACCAAAATGAACCCCCGACCATCACTCCCTGAGGAAATGTGTTCTGCAAAAGACTAATGGTATTACTGGCCCTATTTTTTTAGTCTTCCCTGTGTCCTTGGCCTTTGCTGTGCAATGTTGTGGAGCCCTCTCACTCTGACTCTTGGTCTCACCCCATGTAAATTGCTTTGGCCAACGGCACATTAGTACATGAGACACAGCTGAAGCTTGAAATGGGTTTAAGCGTTGAAGCTTGCTTCTTTTGCTCTTCTGTGTGGCTGTGTGAATATGCCCAGGCTAGTTTGCTGGAGGATAAGATGAAAATGGAGATGAGTCATCCCTTCAATCTCAGCCAAGTCTGTACTAGATCATCCCATGGCCAGCCACTACCCAGACATGTGAATGAGTAATCCAAGATCAGCAGCAACACAGAGCTACCTGCAGTTGACCACAGAAAAATGTATAAACTCGGGTGATATAAGTCAAGTCTAGCACGCAAATGTGTGAACTAAAGAAATCTTTATTGTTTGATACGACTAAGATTTTGTAATTGATGCGCGGCACTACTGTCTTAATAGATAATTGACATAGTTTTCCCCAACATCCATTCTTCCTCATTCCCATCTCCAGCTAGATTATTTGCATTTGTTCATCTGGATAAAGCTAAAAATTATCAGAGAATTCATGAGAATCCATAATTGTTTCCAAAATCAATAGTGGAAAAAGAATAAAGACAAACAGGTATCTACAAATAAATATTTGGAAATCATTTGGCTCTATGGGGCAGAAATATTTTGTCTAATCCTCTTAGTTTACTCTTTAGTAGCACATCTCTGTTCATCACTACTGAAGGAAATGGCTCAAAGAGACAGGGGTCACCATTGACCAAGAGAAATGAAAAATAAAATGTCATTTTTGCCCTATACAGAACACACAGCTCTGTATATAAAGAGCACTCAATAAATGTCATTGCCTCACTGAACACAAGTGTTTTTCAGCTGGCTGCTCTGAGGAGCCTCTGACTTTGGTGACTTTGAGGAAGCCACAAAATCACACAAGAGAAAGACTGCTTCATGGAAAATCTACAGAAAGTTGCTGACTTTATGTAGGAAGTAGTGTCAATTCTTACTCCTGATGAAAAACTTAAAGGTTAAATGCAATCACTGATTTCCAATATTATATGAGTAAGAAAATTTCTTGTGAGATTTCAAAACTACATATTTATGTAATATGTAAAAATCATTCTTTGTATTTTATCTCCTGCCGTTTTGAAGATTTATGATACATATATCCATTAAAATGGGGTGGTCATGCAAACATGTTGGTTCATCACTGGCAGTAGTACAGATTTCTCACAAAAGGTTAATAAATCTAGACAAACCGTACATTTCCTGCTATAAAGAAATTGGTTCCAATTTCCTGTGAGGAGGGGTATCAGCCTTATATGCCTCTGTTAGGTAAAAGATTTTCCTAGCAACTAAATACACATACACATACACACACACACACAAGCTTTTCTGGTTTTGTTTTTAAGAGACTTAGTGAGTCAACTGACATACAATAAACTGTATGTGTCATACTATACAATCTGTAAGTGCTGGCATATGCATATACCCATGTGATCATCACTACTGTCAAGATAATGAACAAATCATCACCCCTACAAGTCAGAAGCTTCTTTCTACTCAAATATAGTCTTCTTGTTTAACCAAGGATCATTACCCAAGGAAAGAATTTTTTTCACTATTTCGTGCTAATTGGCTAAAATTTATCAAGCACTTTCACTTTACATAGATCATTGCCCTTAATCCTCACTACAACTCTGTGAGGCAATTAATATTTCCCCCCATTTTACAAGTGAGGGAAATGAGATTCAGAATGGTTAGGTGGCTCATCCCAGATCACAGACCTGGGATTTAAACCCAGATAGCAGTTAAACCACTAAGTACAATTATGCCCATTCTCAGTTAGAATGATTTGCTAAGTGTCACCCTCAAGGAAGAAAATGTCTTGTCATGCCTCTATGCGCTGTGTCCAAATAACTGGGATTTGACCACACATAAGTACTTTCATTTTTGTCCAGATCTATATTTGCATGTCCTACAGTCCATGTCTAAAGGATCATTAGAGATCCAATATGTCCTGGCAAAGAATGAGTATCCTCTTGGATGTGTAATTTATAGATGGGGAACATGTTGCCACTCCCTTCCTTCCTCAGTCCTGATTTTAGTTTTCTGTTAAAATCATAAAGCTTCTGTTATTAAGCTTATGTCGTATTTGTATTTAAAAAGGGACCAACTTGCTTATTTTGCTCCTAACATCTTTGCTGTTAGTTTCCAGAGTTTTATTCTGCCTCATGGTTGCAACAACACACTTACTAGTGCAAATGGTAATTTATCTTTAAATCATTAAATTCTACCTTTTATATTTCTTGGGTAATGGCTTGTATGAGCCATACTTTCTACTCTTTGAAGCAAGGTTATCTTTAGGGTCCTCTTATAATGATGCTTTTAAGGTCCTTGTTCTAAGAGTGGCTTCTCTTTAGGCAGTTCATCTTTCTATAGGCTTTAGCAGTCCCCAATCCCTGGTCCGTGGACCATTATTGGTCCGTGGCCTGTTAGGGACCAGGCCACAGAGCTCCCCTCCCATTCTCACTGTCTTCCGTGGAAAAATTATCTTCCATGAAACTTAGGAAGGGAGGGCGTCCGCACAGCAGGAGGTGAATGGCAGGCGAGTAGGTGGAGCTTCATCTGTATTTACAGCTGCTCGCCATCACTTGCATCACCGCCTGAGCTCCTCCGCCCCCAACCCTGGTCCATGAAAAAATTGTCTTCCATGAAACCCGTCCCGGGTGCCAAAAAGGCTGGGGACCCCTGCTGTGTTTAACACATCCACTGGGTGCATTTAATTGTTAGTGGGTACCACCAGTTTGCTTCCTGGGTTTGAAGTCTGGCTTCCTGACTAGCTACAAGGTATCAGGTAAGTTTTTTATTCTTTGTTTCTTTTTAAACATTTCTGTGATTCATTTTTCTCATGTATAAGATGGGGATAATAATACTAAATATTTGATAGAGCTATTGCGAAGATCACATAAATTAATGCATGTAAAGGGCTTAAAAGAGTGTATTGTACATGAATAAATACTAAATCCATTTTAGCAGCAACAATTATCATTGCTTAGCATCTCTTTTAGCCACTTTCCAGTTATCAGCTAGGAAACCTGATCACTTGTCAATGTTGCAGCATTCAGAGTGGCTTTATTTTCATCGGCTCTGTTCAATTTTAACTCTATGGAGATTTCATCAGCAGGACATGGAACTATACTTCAAGAAAAGTAAAAAGAAGATGTGTTCATGGAGAGGTTCTGTGTTTTTGAAATGGTTCTTGTTTTACTATAGCTTGTCATTCGAGACATCTGGCCACTACAGCACTGGGTCTCTCTGAGTCATTACCAGAATTTGGCTTCCATTATCTCCTGAGTATGATGTAAGTCATGTTCCTCTTATTTGTGTTGATCTATAGTTGCCTACAGTGAATGCTTCCTGTTCTTTTTTTTCATTTCTAATTATTATTACTATTATTTTTTAGAGATGGGATCTTGATATGTTGTCCAGGCTGGCCTCAAACTCTTGGGTTCAAATGATCCTTCCATCTCAGCCTCCTCAGTTGCTAGAACTAGAGGCATGCACCACCATGCCTGGTTGATTTTTTAAATTTATTTTTGTAGAAATGGGGTCTCACTATGATGCCAGGCAGGGCTTGAACTCTTGACCTCAAGTAATCCTTCCACCTCAGCCTCCCAAAGTGTTGGGATTACAGAATTGAGCCTGGCCTTATCCATCTTTTTTAAATGACACATTTGGAAATTCATTTCTGTTTTTTTTTTTTAATGCATTTGGTAAAACATTTTGGCCCTATCTGTATTCTCATTATAATTATCTTAAAATTAATATAGTAACATCAGATGTTTCAACTTAACAATGTGAATAAATATAGATAGGTCACTATCAATATCGAT